GCAAGGAGGGGCTTGCCTATTCCAATCTTAGGAGTAGTCAAAAACATATCAGGTTTTATTTGTGGAAATTGGAATGCAAATTCTCAAATGGTTAATCCCCCTTTCACCCAAAAACACTGACATCAAATTGAGTTGTATACCCCTTTTTTTGTTCATTTTTTCTACTTCCTTGCTTTCAAATCTCCTTTTAGGAAACAGAGACGTTTCTGAACTTTCATTTGAGTCAACGTTTTGGAGATTCTACATACTATCAAAACATCTTATAGCTTTCAAACTTTCTTGATTTCATACTCATTTGAAAATTAATCTTTTTGGGCTTATCTGTCTCTTTTAAATGCTTAAGTAAGATGATCAATGATCTTTTTCAAACAGATTAGATTTGGTTTATCCGTCTTCAGATTTGATCGGCCTTTAACCGTTCTCTCATCAAGTAAACAAACCTGAATTCATATATAGATTGAGAAACTTCTTGAACTTCTCAATGCCTTGAGTGTTTAAAAATCAATGATTTGTCTTGGCTTTGTCAATGTTCTATCAATTCTATTACTTGTTACGGATAAGCAATGGAATACAAAAACTTGGTTGATCTTTTGCAAACATGCAAAAACCAAAAGACTGGGTAAAAAAGATGGTGACTTCATTGTTCATTTGGACTCTGAGCTGTCAAACAAGCATGAGGTACCAGGGTGTAATAAAATTCCAAACTTGTCGGTACATATCTTGCTGTGATCATATGTAGTGGTCAATTTAAATGAAGAGATGTCAGATCTAACGGAAGAAAGTAAGGAAGCTCTTTGTCCTGATTCTCTTGATGAGCTTTGAGTTTGTTTACAATCCTCTCCCTACTGGTCAATAAGATTTCTTTATGTCAGTTGTTAGAATGAGAGTCTGAGGGTTGAAATGGGTGAAACATTTGAATGATTTTCACCAGGACTGTCTTTTGTCTGTTAATGGGATGACCACAGTAAAGACAGGGGATGTGACAGGTAGTGTCCCACCTGTCCGTAGTGTGTTATCACCCATGAATTCATGGGTTGTGGGTGGTACTGACAGTCAGTGTCAGTGTCAGAGCCTGACAGCCACGGCTCTCCCAGTGGCCGCGACCTCTGGCCTAAACTTATCCAAGTACCACACTTATCAGGTTGTGTTCACATCTGTTCATGTCGACATCGTGTGAGAAAGGATCCAAACCACCGGACTGTGCAGGACTGTGGGCGCGTCCAGAGTCACACACAGGGGCGGATGCGGCAGGCATATGACGGCGCGCCCGGATCTGCCAATTTCTAAAATGATGCATGAGGGTTGCACCACTGTAGAAATAAATGCCAGGCTTCAGTGCTATTCTTTGATTGCATGGTTTTAAGTGTTCATTCAGTCCTAAGACTATCAAACACTCGGCACTTATTTCTAGTACCATGAAAGCCATGTGGCTGTTCAGGAAAAAGGTTAGTAGTAGCTGCTTGATGTGTGTGTACATGATTATGAGGTATTAAAATTGGGTAAAAGCAATCAGGGCACATGGAAGGAGAGGTCACTCCCAAGGCGAAGGGGTGTCCAAAGGATAGTGCACGTCAGTGACGGTAGCCCAGACCCATCTGGTCTGGAATTGCCAGCTTGAGTTGCAGTAAGTTGCTATGGCTTTGAAGGCTCTGGTGTTAGACAGGATTGTCCTGTTCATTTGGGTTCTGAGTTGGAAAGTGGTTTTCTTGAGTCTTGCAAGGGGTTGTTTGTATCTGTGGCAAATGAAAAGGAAGTTTTCAACAGTCTCAAGCCCCTCCTGGCATTTACAGGTGGGTTTAACCGCCAACTTAAGTATGTCTCACAGGCAGACCCTTTTTCCTTGCAATCTCCGGGGTCTGAAGAGGGCCTTTAGACTTATCCACCAGGTTCTGGTGAGCCAGTGGTTCAAATATTGATTTTGGCTTGGAGGTTTTTTCAAACCTCAGAATCGCCCACTTTGTCTCATTCTACCCTCATGCTGATTTGAACTGGGCGGACCTGTGCCCATTCTCATCATATCTGTCTATTTAGATTTCTCATATCTTGCTCTGAGTTTTCTCAATAAAGAAAGAAACATTGAAATTTGAAATTTGGTTACTGTATTTTTGAAACAAAATGTACAAAGGACCTAAACACATTCTTCTTTCTCTTGCAAGAAGATTGATGATTGATCAGTGAACTTTGATCTAAACCCAAACTTGTTCATCTAGATGTTTTGAAGAGATTCCTCCCCTCAGAGATTCCATATTGTATCAACTACAGAAGATGCAAGGCTGTAGAAGAGGAGGGCCTCTTTGGGTCCCTGCTTACTCACCAAAAGTAGCTGATGTATTGCAATTCCCTCTCCAGGGCACCAAGCTTGCAAAGGTAAGAAAGCCACTGCAAGCTCGGGACTTGAGTTGATTTAGGGTTGATGGGTTGATTGGAGCGGTTCAAGTATAACTTTAGAGGTGTGTGACCTAATTGCAGTTGTGTTATTGTGGTCATTTGATGGTACATGAGTTGTGAGATGCTGTCTAAGTGGTTTGTCAAGTGAGGCTTATGCCCCAATTGTTTGATGCTGTTGTTGCTGAAAGTTTCAGTTTGTGGGTGCCACAGGTGCCACAGGTGTCAGATATTGTAATTCATAATCACAAACTCATATACAGTGTCACTTGAGCTCTCCTGAGATTTGTAGCCTTAGCAAACCCTTGTGTGAGGTCCACTTGACTTGAGACTCTCACAGAAGCCGAGAACCAAAACACATCTTTGGTATCTCAAAACTTAAATAGTAGCATAGAGAGGCAGTGTTTGAACAGACTAACAACAGCACTCACCGCAGCAGCTATCAGTACATATAAGGGAATCATCCCTCATCTATCTAAGGAAAAGATGAGCTTCCAACAATGGAGGGCTACACTACACCTCTTTCTATCTTCTTAGTTTGATGTATACCTAGTGAGAAAATTTTCATTGTGGTATTGTGCACTGTACCAGGGAGGTGTTGGGGGTGGCCGGTCAATAGATTTGGGTTTTGTAGCTCAGGGAAGCCTTGGTGTGATGATGTGCCTGTCCCTTGCACATATTCAAAAAAACAATTCTCCAAAAGCCCAGAGAGGATAGAGGAACCAGTACTAGCTAGTAGAGCTTGAAGGACATCAAGAGCCATTCATGTGATGGTCAAGGCCACAATGCAGACACAGAAGTGATCTTCAGTCCAAGTGTTTCACCAGCTTTATCAAGGATCCCTCCAATGATTTTCCATAGTTCAAAAAACCATAGACTGTATCTTAACCCAGGCTGTTACTACAGACCTGAATGCAAATTTAATGGTCAATAGAGTGATGTGAACAAACTCCCGCAGACCACACCCTGTTCAAGTGGTCAGTGATGAAAAAATTTTGATGAGTGGATGGCAGACCTTGGTCATCTTAGACTTCATAAGCCGTCTCACTCTAGCAGACTTTGTATAGCTCTCAACAGGGGAATGCAGCTCTGGATGTCAGAATTCAATCTTCATCTTGACTGACAGCAAAAATTTCCATGGGGCACAAGCTTGATCATAAAATGAAACATTTATGCAACTGTGAGCATATAAAATGATGTCTCTTTCTCCAATTCCCTTGTGATTCTCCTCACTTCACACTTCTTGCTGTTTCCCACACTTGTCACACTATCAACAGTCTAATCAAAACACATTGCATATTCCAAATCTTTGTATATTTCTTCTTTATAATCAGTATCTTTATTTCTTTCATTTTTTTTGTAATTTCTTTTACACCAGAAATTGAGAAATCTAAAAGTCATTTAGCAAAAAAAGTTTGTTTAAACACATGACCAAAGAACAATCTGAGAAAACTCTATTCTGGTTGAGCATAGCATTTACCACTTGGTAATTCCCATTGGCACCACCCAAAATTCAGAAAACAACAGTCCTCCAATGAGGTTCAAGAATTGAGTTCAATTTGTAGATGTAACAGTTGCCTGCCATCAAATGGAATGGTAACCCACAAAGTTCCTGAACCTTGTGAACTTTTCAAGATCCTTTGTTTTGGCAAAATTCTGAACCTCATCATAATTTTCCCCAAGTTTCCGCATTTGATGGTATAAAATGTACATACAGGAAATCTCTCTCAAAAAGACCAGCCTTGTCAGAGGCAAAAAAAACTGTAAATGGATTTCTTTCTTTTGGTCTGTGCTGTTACCCAGCCGCCCCAACAATCAAACAAAGAAACACAATCTAAATGATAATTTTACAATCCAACCTTGAGTATCATTTGAGGCACAATTTCCCTTATTGTTGGGTGGTACTAATATCCAACTTAGTCCCAGTACTTATGCATACTGAATAGAACCTCTTAGGGCAGTTCAAGTTATCAAGAACAATTAGAAGTGCTTTGGCCTCCATGTGCTGTAAAATTTCAGAACTTCAACTTTCATTTTGTCATGTATGTGCTCCTCAGGTAGGACTTTCTCAGTGTTTCAAAGAATTATAAGCAGCATCTTGCTGTAGGCACAGTGATTTCTCATTGCCGTTTCAAACTTGAACTGCCCTATTGCTGTGAAATATCACAAGCCATTATGTGTATGGCCTTCTTGAAAATCATTTTTTGGTTGGCCAAGGTGTCAGTGGTGTCAAACAGAAAATATTCTTGTCAAGTGTCTTTTGGGTCATGAGGTTTAAAAGGCTTTTTTTGATATAATAGTTCCATTTCTGCTGCTAGATAAATCAAACAAGATTACAAAAATAAGAGAAAGAAATACTGATACTGAATATAAGAAAGATACAAAGATTTGGAATATGCAATGGGTTTTGACCAGAATTTTGGATATACAAGAAATTTTAGTTTTTGAAACAGTCTTTTTTGTTGTGAGATGAGATATACCAATAATCTCTTCAAGTTCAACTGTTGTTGAGGATGATGAGGTTAAGATTATATTGCTGATGACAAAATCTAAAATGAGATATCATTTTTTAGGTTATAAACTACCAGCAAAACTTCAACATCTCTACCAGTTTTCTAACGGAAAAGATGAAAAAGGTGTGGGTTTCTTCGAATTGCTCTTGCGTGTCTACGTAGAGATAATAACTGGTATTCTTGTTTTTCTTCCTCAGTCAGTTTGAACACATTGCCAGATTCTTGGATTGTTTCTTGATTCTCAACAGAGATTTCAAGCTCATTCATCATGCTATCTTCACCGTCAAATAAAGAATTAAAAGATTGATCGGCTTCCTCTGCTTCAGAAGATACTGGTGATAATAATACATCCTCGAACTCTCCGTCCTCGCCTTCTTCTTCTTCGCAATCAAACCCAGCTGATATCCTGGTGATGGTTTGGTCGAATGATAGGCATTCAATATCGGAGTCAAATCCCATTTCTTTTTCAAACTCCTTTGCCAATTCATCAATATGGTCGTCCCATTCTTCATCAGTAGCAAGATGATTGATTTGCTCATTCCATGAAAGATTTTTGAACGAGATTGGTTCAAGTAGTGACTTTCGTTCAGCTAGTAGAATATCCGTGGGATTAGGCGTGGATACTGAGTCGACTTTTTGATAGATGAGAGGGTTTTCGATGGAATCGTCTTCGAACAGAGAATTGAAGGAGCTTTCAGATTCATTGTTGATTTCTTCTTGTGAATCGCAGGAGTAGCAGGATAAACTGTCCAAAGATACCAAGCTAGCCGGCGATCTGAGAAGCTGGATCTCAACTGTGCCATGGTCGCGGTATAAAGAATTGAATCCAGTATCACAGTTTTCTCCCGAATTATCAGTGACCAATGGAAGTTGATCATCAGAGGATGTGATCTAAAAGTAAAAGGAATAAGCATCTATTTCAATTGATCGTGATCAATTGTCGCAGACAGAAAATAAACATACCTCAACCAGGGTTTGAGGAGTCCAAGTAAGAAGCTTATCGCTTGGGAAGAGCTTGAAGGGGTACGACAGCACGACATCCTGATAGCACAATGATAAACAGATCAGAGATCTGGCTTCCGTATCAAGCTAAAGAAATGAACGGCTTACATCTTGTCGGATCGAGGAATCTCCGGTGATCTTGGTATTGAGTGCATTTCGAAGAATGGCTCGCTTGAGATGAAACCAAGTGTCGACAGAAGACATTGCAGCAAGATTCAAGCCAAGGTTTGTCAAAGACATTTTTTGAAAGTAAATGTGAAGATTGTGATAACGCGGATGATGGATGGAAAGCACTCTGCAATTGCAATGAAGATTTGGATGAAGGATGATAGAGGGGGTGAGGCTTTAATCAATGGAGAACACGGGTTGCTGATGGAATTGATGAGTTGATGGAGAAAGTGATGTGGATGGATAAGAAGGTAGAGTGACGAGTGCGAGAAACCACAAGAAGTGTGAAGAGGATTGAAAGAGAATCAAAGAATCAGACTTCCTTATATACGCTCACAGTTGCACATAGCTTCATTTTACATTCGAGCTTGTGCGCCATGAATATTGTGCCGTCAGTCAAGATGGAGATTTCATGCCGACACCAGGTCCGAGTCACGCTCAGTTGCCCTGTCAAGCGCTAGAAGTCTGCTAGAGTGGGACGGGTTATGAAGACGGCCAAGCTCTGGCCTCCGCGCATCCAAAGTCTTTCATCAATGACCATTTGAAGAAAGAAAGGATCGCGCCGGAGTGATAGGGATTTCAGTCGCATTACTCTATCGTCCATTAAAATCACGTTCAACTTCAGGTCTGTTATCGGAACCTGGGTTGTGATATGGACTATTAATTTTTCAACCTCGGACAATCCTCAGAGGGATCCTCAACAAAAAGTTTCTTCCAGACTTTTGAAAAGTTTGTTTCAAATTTTCATCAATCATGAATACGGCTAGAGGGCTACTTGGCGTGCAGTGTCCTGATGCCAGTTGAGGCTCTTGTCGCCTGACTTCTTTCTCTATGTGGTCAAGTGCGTAAACAGATTTGATCGTGAGGTCTCTACTGTGGAGTCAAAGACCTCACATTTCCACAGTCCCGCTTTGCAAGACAACTCAAACGATGTATCTGTTGCATGTTCTTGAGTTTCATGTGATTCTGCCTCACTCCATCCAATGACTTCGTGTCCTGGCATCCACAATGTTTTGGATTTGGCTCTATTACAGAGAGCTAGCGCAGGGAACATGTCCTTAATTGTTTCGGGGCGCATGAAGCAATAACGCAACTTTGTTCATAGATATTTGTACAATAGGTTCGAGTTGGAAAGGCTCAAATGCACTGTCCCTACATCAAAATGATGTTTCTATTATTTCTTTAGAAAATTTTCAGAAAGCCCCACCTGCGACTCACGATGCTAGTGACTTTTTTTATGTTTTTTGAAGGGCTGGTAGGCCAAGGTACGCAAAGTTTCACCCAATTTTTGCCAACTTGAGACGCACTATGATAGAAGGGCAAAGAAAGATGTCAAAGAAACTCACAAAGGCCCTGCAAAGTTTCGAATTTTGAGGCCATCGGATCTGGTCGAGTTTGTACATATCCGAGTCGGATCTCATTTTTTCGAAAAACCCGTGAAGCATATTTAAACTTCAAACCCACAAATCCTGAATCCGACTCAGCATTTTCCTTCGACACCTTCAAAAGTCAAATCAAGTCAAACTGAATACTAGAATCGATGATTGGTCCACAAGATATAACTCTATGTGAACATTTATTAACCACGCTATATGGTCACGCTTGTGGAGTAAGTCAAGATTCATCTCAATCTCAATGTTCAAATATAAAGTCACTAACATTAAAAACTTGAATTCAATGTAAATAGGAAATCGGCTCACTTTTACTGAGAAGAGGTCGTTTACCATTCTCAAGTTTGGTGAAATTATCATCACTCACTTCTCACTCGATCCGATCGGCACTTATAACTTTAATTCAACAAAAGTAAGGGAGATTTTTCTCGAATAGATTTATGAAGGTAAACTTTGATTCTGATGAAAAATATCACTTTGTTTTGTTTTGTCACAGCTGTGTTTGTCATTCGGAAACTTCAAGCGCAAGCACATCAACTCAAACTAATTCACCAGAATATTTCGAAGTGATACCAAATGAAATTTTAGCTAGAATTCGATTTGGGAAATATATCACGATTGTTGATGAATTATTTGGTATTGAATCAAGTTCGATTATTGAATTTGTTTTAGAGAATGGAAAAATAAGAATCGGTCAACTTATCGCTTCACTATTATCAAATTCAAATTCAAATTCGATGAAATCGGATTCAGATTCACATGAAGTGAAAAGCGAATCTTTAAAAAGTTAGTCTTTCAACTTCTTTCATAAACCAAAAGGTTCTTTATTCTAAATTAATCTTTCAACTTTTGTTGTTTTTTGGATTGCTCTTCCTTGCTCTGATTAGCTAATTGATGTTTGTTTTTTTCATTTTCTTCTAAGAGAGTCAAATCATTCGATCCAACATCTTAAACTTACTTTCTGAACGTTTCTTAAAGCCTTCTCAACCATCACACTCAATTGCATCACTGGACTTGGAACTTGCATGGGAAAAACGTCAGTGCCTTTATTCCCTTTATCTCCTTCAACTACAAGATTTAATCAATCTCTGTTTTTCGTTTCCTTTTCCAGAGATGATTAGCGAGATCCCAGGTATACCAACACCCAAGGATTTAAGAGCCGTAAAAGAACGTGTAGTAGATAAAGTAGTAGTAGAGCGGGATCGAGAATTCGATGAATTATGTGCCTTTGATCTTGTAAGTTGACCGCTGTTTTTAGAAGTTGACTGATCGTGATCTCATCAAAGTCTCATCAAAATGAAAATGTTTACTATGTTTAGAAAAAAAGAAAAATGACGATTGATGCAGGTGGTCGAGGTGGGAAACGATCAAAGATAGAGGAGTCGATCTTAGATGTTAGTCTTTTTGTTTGTGCTATCATATTTCTTCAACTGAAGATTGATCTGTACAGGATGACATGTTTGTACGAGTGAATTACGATAGATTTGATATCAAAATTCGAAATTCAGTCAGTACACTCCTTATATTTGGAAAAAAGACATGTTCATTGATTTTACTTTTTTAGATATTTGAACAAGAGTGCTTAAGGTCTTACAACCAAGAAGCCGCACTTGTGATGAAAGCAATGTTATCCTTGGCTGAAGCTAAGCAAAGGGATACTCAAGATCTAGTTTCAGGTAAGCCCTGAATATCTGGTTTCACCTTTTCCGCTTTCGCAGCTCTCAAGGATTTTAAGGCTGCCTGAATTGAGACAATCTCTGTTTTTAGAACCGATCTCTGCTCAATCAATTGTAATCAGATTAGGAGATCAAGCCAAAAAGCTCAAAACTTGTTTTCCAACAAAAACAAGTAATGGACAATTCAATTTAAAACTGAAAAATACTGGAGATCTTGCAGCCGAAGTACTATCAATCATATCGAAACAAGATGATTTTGGTACCTCAAGTACATCAGTATTTGTAAATGGAAGTCTAGATAAACTTTTATCACAAATGAATCCAATTGCCATGGTTTCAGAGAAAAAGGGAAATTCGACTACTTTAGGAGGGAGTGGTAGTGGAGGAATGAGAGAATTTAAAATTGAATATGGAAAGTATTCGGTCGAATTAAGAAAAGCTTTGGTGACAAGGATTGTTAGGGAGACACTCGGTATTGAAGCGGCTAGAGTGGTTAGGATCTTGTTGAACAAAGGTAGATTAGATGAGAAACATGTATGTTCATTTTCTATCTGCATCCGACCTGAATAGATATTGAACCTTGTTTTTCTTTGCTTCATCTTGATGATTACCTTCAATTCAAAAGCTAGCAAAATTTGCTATGATGACATTGAAAGATTCAAGAGAATTATGTTTAAAATTATCAACTCAAAACATAATTGAATTACAAGAAATCCCCAAAACTCAAGATAGAATGCCATCAAGAACCTATTATTTATATTTTATAGATTTTAAAAAATTAAATTTAAACTTGATTAACAAATTAAGAAAATCACAAATTAATTGTATAGAAAGGATTTATAAAGAATTGAACTCAAATCGAAATTTGATTTCAAAAATCAATCGTAAAGATATCTTTAACGATTTAAATCAATTTTTAAATCATTGGGAATTAATTGAATTTAATAGATTGAAAATCAAATTACAAGCTTTAGAAGTTGCTAAAATTAGATTAGAAAGAGATTTGTTTATACTTAGAGACTTACCTTGGGTTGGATGATTACTCAAGTTTTGCAGTTTTTTGTTCTGTTTTGTTTAAATGAAGTTACGTTTTTTGAAAATTTCAATGAGATTTTTTTCCGTGTTTTTTAATGTAAACGAAGTTATATATGTTTTTCGTAATTTGTCTAGCTTTGAGTTTATAAAGCTTTGTTGATATATAATTTGATAAACTTCAATCATAACAGAGGTTGTTTTGCGGCGGGTAGTAGTTTCAAGGTATAAACTTGTCATACGCAAAACAGCACCTGTACAAGGGCCTTGAAATAAATTTCATGTCACAAGATATCAATAACACTTCATGGAAGTTGATGATGGATTAGAGCAATGACATGTATCATAGATTGTCATAAATTAGAAAGAGGAGAGAAACCCAAATGCATATGTGGAACCAAATAACAAAACTGAAAACTTGCACCCCTCCATCCCTCCTCTGGTGAAGGTGAAAATGTAATCAGTTTTTATAAGGTGTTGATGAATGGGTGGAAGACACAGTGTTTTATAAGGCTACTGATAGAGTGGTTCAATTTTCAAGAGATGCCATGGAATGATGGATTCACACTGCAAGAAAACAGCACTTATAAGAATACATCCATTCTCTGCAATTTCAAGCAATTTAGAGCCTTGATAAAACCTCTGTGCCAACTCTGAATGAGAAATATATGTATATAAATTTATTGATTTGAAAATATTTATTGCAGAAGCTACCATTGAAATCAAAAAAGGTATCAAAACATAAAATAGACCTGCTAGATGAAGAAAAATGGAGAACAGGAAAGTACACAAATCTGAAATACAACAACTACATGTTGATGCTATTCAAAGATTGATCTGATCACTTGAAGTAACTAACAGAATATGTCAATCTCATCGCAGCATAAAAACAAAAGTGTGTTTCAGATATCACACTGACAAAGAACCTTATCAAGCAATAAGAGCATTCATACCTGCTACAGCAGCAACAGAAACTAAGCAAAGGTTCACAGGTGCCTCAAGGAAGCTTGTCTGCAATTCTCCTTCCTACATTTCACCTCTCATAATTACTATTTGTGGTACTTTTGCAAACTTTTGAGCTCTTCTCTCTCCATCCAAGATTTACTTAATCATTCTTGAGTGTAGGTGAGTAACTCAAAGTTTGTGGATTCACCAAGCAGGGTGGGGGGGGCTTTGGACCGCCTAACCTGCTGGGTTTCTATCTGTGACTATCTCTGAGGCCTCCAACCCGGCATTGTGTTGCACTAATCTTGAAGCTGTGTATGCATGGGGTCTCCAGAGAGATGGAGTCTAAGCCATGGGACAGTGGGTGGGTTCAAAATTTCTATGTCACAGGAGTCCAAAGACACAACAACTTTCAATTGTTACCCTCTTGCCAAGGCTGCCACTGTACAGTCCCCTCCAAGTGGTTTACGTAATCATTCAAGTTCTGCAGTGCCGGGGCCGGGGCCTGTTGCGAACCCAATGATTACAAATCCTAGGCGTGGGGACGTGTACTATACTATACTATACTGAGACTATACTTGGTATAGTATAGTTCAACTATACTGTACTTGAGCTATATTTGGTATAGTATAGTACAACTATACTATACTGAGTATAGTATAGTATAGTTCCAACTATACTGAGTATAGTATAGTTCCAACTTACTGAGTATAGTATGGTACAATTTAAACTATACTATACCCAATTATATTCATACCAGTATAGTATAGTGGCACCCTTGCTCTTGCTTGAGAAGGGAGTAACTTTGTAAGGAAAGTAGTAACAAAGGAGATCATAGATTTTAGAAGACCAAGACTAATCCGGGACAGAGTAAAGGTCCAAGCACACAAAAGTACAAATGTAACACCACTCATGTCCTTTAGCAAAAGAAGTATATACTTCTTGCTCTGGAAGCTCTCAATCTTCCTCTACATCAAGACTTCTCCTTAACTCATTCCTTCATACTCACTAATATTATTTTATACATCAGAACCCATTAACAATTCATTTTGACCACCCACCCACCCAACATACACATGTAGATATAATATACAGTTGTTGTGAGAAGTATTGGTAACTTTTGAGGTGATGGGTGTTGCCAAGTTTTAACTAGAGTTTATCTGTGGCCCAAGACTCTGTTTTCTTTGATGTCACAGGCCTAAACCTTGTTTGGCTCCTGCAATATGCTTCTATCTCACGGTACACATGGTCAAAAAGGAGTTTTTTTCAGTTTTTTCCAGTTTTGGATCAAATCCCAACACAACACAAAATAAAAAAAGTTACTGTTAGTTCTCACAACAGCTGTAATAGTACAGGAGGTGAGCACAAGACAAAGGAGAACTCTCCAAAGACAGTCTTTTGTGGACCTTCTCCACAATCAGGTCTTGCAATGTGTAGATTTCAATAAGGAACAATATTTATAAGCAGAGACCTAAATCCAACTATAAACCTTCCCTCACCTAGACATAAACTAGGGAGGGAAAGGATGATCCTTTTTTTGAACTATTTCATTGTCTTCATCCTCCTGAAATGCATCAAAACCATTAAGTTAGAACAAATTCAAATTACATGATTATATACAACTTCAAGAAACATCAAGGCAGACGAAGCTAAACAGATATTGACAAATCCAGAGTTACATAGATAGAAGGTGTGTGATGAAGGGGGTAGTAGGATAGTGTTAGAAAAAGATTTATTGGGATTAATTAGGGAGAGATGCTTTGAATGTTGTTGTTTTATGTTGTGACCGTGAAAATTTGTGACCTGATTGTTTTTCTTATTAACCCCCCACCTCTCTCCTCTGAATCTTTTTCCCCCCTTGGGTAAATTGATTCTAAAGGCAAGAGTAAAACAGAGTCTCTTATTATTTTTCTATCATAGTGAGCTCAGCTGAACCTTTACTTTGTCCTCTTATATTTCTTTTTATGGCGCTCTTTTTCTTTCTCAATCTTGTCTTCTTACTCTATAGTTCTTTCTATCACTTTAAAATCCTCCTCTGTCCCTTTCTTCAGGTTTGTCTAAGAGAACTTGTCTACTGTCATTGTTAGCCAGTGCCTCATCAGCATAAGAGCTAAGAGCTTCTGTCTACCTTCTTAAAGGTTTCTTTATCCATCACACAGTGTTGAGCGTTTATTCCTGAACTCTTACACCTTCTATGCAATAAACATGATGTGATAAGATTGAATGGATCCCCTGAGCTTGGGGACGTGGATAGCTGCCAAGACCTGAGAAGCCAGTGGACCCAAGTATCTGGTCAATTCTAGAAAGAGTTGACAAGAAATTCAATTGTAGAATTTTCCCCAATGCTTTCAGAAAAATTTGTGTTTACAAAATTCACCTCAGCAACTAGCCAACAGCAAACATCATTAGTGCAAGAAATTTTGGTTCCTTCCTCCCACCCCTGTGCCCTACCTTGCAGAGGACCTGGTTTTGTACAGTAGTCTACGGCCACACACCCATACCCAAACACACTACCAAACTAGTTACCAATTGGTCTTATAGCATTGGACTACTGTATGAGACAAGGTCTTTCCTGTTGCGGCTGGCCTGGCTAGGCACCGTAGGTGCCTAGGCATCTCACCCGTTTTTGGTTTAGCCTAGGTGGAATATCTAATAATGTTTAGATTAGGCTGGTTTCTTTATTTGTTTGTTTTGCGTCATAGTTGTTGTGCCTAGCTGAAACATGTTTCATATATAAAGCTATTGTTTCTTCTTGAATAGTGTTATTCTCTATTGTCACAATTTGTTTGTTTCAGTAGATCTCAACTAACACTAGTTTTATCTAGTTTGCGTTTCATCCCCTTACGTCTCTACATTTCCATGTGGAATTGTATGAGCATCACTTTTGATTCAAAAAATATGTATACAAAACATATTCAGATCACTCAGGTATGTACACCTTAGCCCTGAGCACACCCCATAGTAGAAGGGGAAAGCAAGAGATCTGATGCTGTGGTGAGAGAATTGGTGGCCTCTGAGACTGCTGTGATGCAGGAGTAAGAATTTTCACACTCCTGTATCTTCCTCTGGAGTCTGAACCAGTCTCTCCTAAGACTTATGTATTAGGTCTCATGCCTCTGTATTTCCTCGTCTTACACATTGTACCTTTGGTGTAAGCTTCCCATCTGATGACATTTTGAGAGTCACCAATTCTGAAAAGAGATGAGCTGCTGATAAACCTCCAGAATCATCATGATGTTTGCATAACTTCTCATAAACATCTTGAGGTGAGGTACAGGTCCTGATCACCTGTAATTTCTCATCATCATCTGTGGCATGAATTGCTGCAAATGCTTGAAGCAGGTTGGTCTTGTGGTCATCTAGAGCTGTGGGATTGGTAGGAGCTTTGATGTCACACAGAAGGTACTTAGAGAGCTTCAGAATTCAAACATTCAAGTCTTTCATGATCATGAGAAACACATTTTCCCATTACTTTCCAGTTTTTGCATAATAAATTCCTTCACATGGTTCCTGCTGCAAGTGATAATGAGGATTTTTATTTTTAAAGTATTTTTTTGATAGAAATTGATGAATCTAATAAAGTACAGTCATGTCCTTTCAAATGATTTCATTTCTCCCGTTGTATCTGGATATGGGGTACTCCGTGTGTAACAGTGTGATGAGGTTTTGTACTTGATTTGGATGCTGTTTGTGTACCCTTTGAATGATCTAGCAGTCCCTGTAGAATTATGATGTGAATGAGATGCCCAAGAGGGATGATCAGAGGAAGTAGCAAAGAGTGTATTGAGTTTGGCAATCTGATCTTTGGTGTCTGACCTGGTACCACCTTGACATGTGGAAGGACTGGCTGAGCCAGTAAAGCAGATTGAAGTGATGTCAAAAGGGAGCTCAGATGCAGGGAGATTCTTGTCTTTTACCACGAATTAGCAATTAGTCACGTGACCCGGTCCGTGACTGCGCAAGCATTCGTCCAAATTTCAAAAGTCTATTATCCTAACTTTTTCGTCACTCTTGACTCACCTCTTCAACGCGATACCGGCCGACATGGAGGTCGACGACGCGACGGACTCGGGCCAGAAGGAGCAGAGTACCCTAGGGAACACTACTCCAACTCGCGACGCGTCCAACGCGTTTATCAATCCTGTTGGACCCCAAGAAAGACCAAAAACGACTGGCCCCAACGCCCCCCTCGTTTTCGACAAAGATAGTCTGGCCCAAGGACTTACCCAATCTCCGTCGATCCAGGTGTCTGACCTGGGCAATTTCTCAAAGAAAAGATCAAGGTTGGATTCGGCTGGACTAGCAGCCGAAAACCAAGCGACGGAGTTGGCAGGTACTCCCAGGTCAAATCGAATCGCTCTCCTATGCCCAGGAGCTGAGTCTAAATCTCTTAAGGAGTTGATTAGCAAGCTCCTGGAGGTGGTCAAGTCAGGCTTTCCGCTAGCCAACAAATCAAAAACAACGAAAAAGATCCAGGTCGATGTCGACACAGCCGCCGACATCCTGGTCTTAACAGGAGCTGTACATGACCAGGTCATGTACGAAGACGCTCGAAAAAACTTCACAACACCAGAAGCCCTATTGGGACCAACCAAACAACGATCGATAGTATTCAAAGGAAAAGAAACCGAGGATAAGCTTGACGCTATACTCGAAATCCTTTCGTTACAAGCATCAGCTGGTACTAAAAGCCCACAGCAACCACAAAAGAAAGGCACTCAGGCCCCATCATATGCACTAGCAGCGTCTAAACACGCACCGACAAACAACAACAACACCAACTCGGGGAAATCTTCATCGTATACGAAGTCAAACCCCCCTCGACAAACACCAAAGGCAAAATCAACTAATGTCATCACACTAGTCCATGAACCGGGTACAAATATCACCCATCCAAACCACTCCAATGCTAAACTGATCAACGAGCTCAACACGACCTTCAGAGCATACCAGATTAAAATGAAACCGGAAGATACGTCGGCCATTGAGATTAAGAGCGTGAGACGCCATCCATCACATGACATTGATGTATACTTTGAAACAGCTGCGCACGCGGCTAAAGTCAGAGCATTACCAAGAACATGGTTACAAGGATTCTCAAAAACGCTAACCTTGAAAGAGGCCCGTCACGAGGTTATTGTAAACGGTATTTCTACAACTTTTGATCCAAATGTACCAGACCACTGCGAAGAACTCCAAGCATGTAATGGAGATCTTCTAAAAGATATGTTATTTGTCCGATGGCTTAATCCAAAAGCTATTGAAGACCCAAATAAGCGCCACTTGTCTATCTTGATTGGATTAAAGAGTGAGGAACAGGCTCAGAAATGCGTAGCCAATAAAATTTGGCATGGCAGAGGCAAACACCTCACCTTTAAGAGTGGCCCACCTCCACAAAGGTGCTACAACTGTCAAAAGTTGGGACATACAGCACCGTCTTGCCCAATTGACCCCATTTGCCCGTTCTGTGGCGACAAACACCACGCACACAGCTGCCCCCAAAAAGAAAAATCTGAGATGAAGTGCACAGCATGTGCGAGAAAGAAACTACAACTTGAGCCCCTGACGAACCTCAAGACTTTCTTTGCCTCAAAACCAGCTGACATCATTCACCATCCCTTCAGCCCACTATGTCCAACAAAGATTGCGGCGAGCGCCGGACCATATAACCCGAGCAGCTCCCCAAAAATCATCATCATAGAAAGCGAAGACATGAATTTATCCCAATGATAGAAACACGCCTTCGCAAACTCATCACATCACAAGACACAACGGCAATACTACAATTAAACTGCCACCGCTCACAGCACGTAATGTATTCCTTATTTAATCATGAACTCACCAATAATTTTTCTATTATAGCTCTCCAAGAGCCCCACATCAACAGACTAGATTACCTACCCCCTAACCAAACGAACTGGATTCTAATCAGCCCAACAGCAGCCAAGAAGAATGAAGAATCAAGACCTAGGGCCTGTCTTTATATCCAAAAGGACCTTCAAGCGGCAATCAATCCAATCACATCACCCTCACGAGACATAGCAGCGTGTACGGTAACTATTAACGACTTTTCACTCCTCATCACAAATGTATATAACGCGCCAAAAACCTTTACGGGGTTTGAGGCGTGGGACACGCTAATGACCAAACTCCCACTCCAACTCCAGCTCCTACCGACAATAGTAGTGACCGATGCTAATTTACATTCCCCAGCATGGAACCCACTACACAGCAACAACACCGAAAAAGCAGCAGAAGACCTCATCGACCTCATGTCCAAATGGGACCTACACCTGAGATCACCAGCAGGACAGCCTACATTTGGCCTTGGCTCAACAACGACACGAGGGACTACCATAGATTTGGTATGGGTGAACGAACAACTTGAAGATGTTATTCAAGCCTGTCTGGTAGACACAGAAGACATCACAAATCATTTTTCGGATCACCAATCTTTAATCACCACATTTACCACAAAATCCCACGAAGTAACGACAGGAAACGAAAATCGACGCAAGAACTGGAATAAAGTTGATACTCCGGCACTACTCATGGACTTACGAACAGCACTTCCAAAAGTAAGACGACTAACGACACAAACTGACATTGATGATTTTGACAGAAGCCTGCGAAACTCAATCACCGAAGCGCTTAACAAAAACTCACCAAACAAAGCAGCCCCAGGTAAGCATAAACATTGGTGGATACCCGAGGTGCTAGATCCTCTCAGGAAAGAAGCACAACGTCTGCACCGAATCTTCAAAAACGACAAATCGGAAGAAAACAAGACAAACTACAAAAAAGCACGAAACATATTCAACAAGAAAGTCGACAAGATGAAAGAAAACAGCTGGAAGATTTACTTGTCAACACTAACTCATGAAACGCTATTCCAAGCTAAAAGGTTTGCATCAGGACGAAAACCGTCAGCGCTAGTCAACACCTTGATTTCAAACTCAGGTAATGTTATATGCTCAACAAACAAGGAGAAAGCTAAACTTCTCTTTCAGACAACGTGTGTGGCAACTGCCCCCTGTCAAATAGCCGAGTCTGAAATCCTCAGCTTCCCAATCAGCCCAGAAAACCGAACATCAGAACAAAGCATGCCAGACTTCTTCAGTTATCTGACTGAGGAAAACATCAAATCGGTCATAACGAGCGTTCCGCCACTCAAGGCACCGGGAGCCGATATGCTCCAAAATTGGGTTTGGTGTAAAGTTTGGCAACAAGCTAAAGCTCAAATACGCTCACTATTTCTACAAATCACAGAAACCGGGTTGATACCCCAAGATTGGAAGCAGGCCCGTACCATCATGTTACCCAAACCAGGGAAGCCAGACTATACAGCGGCCTCAGCGTATAGACCAATAGCGCTCTTGCTGACATTAAGTAAGATCTACAAAAAATTATTGACTAAACATCTCTCAGAACAGGTGGAGAAAAAACGATTACTCCATGAAGATCACTACGGTGGTAGACCAAATAAATCAGGACACAAGGCTCTTACACACCTGGTTTCCTGGATACGAAAAGAATGGACAAGAGGTAATGTGGTGGGTGCACTCTTTGCTGATGTGAAATCAGCGTTCCCATCAGTGCACCACCCCAGACTACTCGCCATCCTCGAAAGAAAAGGTTTTCATGACCAAACACTCAATCTACTTCACAACTTCCTCGACAACCGCTCAACAACCTTATCATTCAATGGATTCGAGTCAGAGCCCTTCAAGCTAACGCACGGACTCCCACAAGGATCTCCGCTTTCACCTCTCATGTACCTCTTATACAACAACGGCTTATTAGAAACAACAGATAGCATCAATAATGCATCCGCCTTGGGTTTTATTGATGACGTAGTTCTTCTTACCACAGCATCCGACAAACACCGACTACGATCTCAAATGCAAACATTAGCTTACAGGCAGAACGTCTGGGCCCAAGACCATGGGGCTATTTTCGACACAAAAAAGACCTTTTGGGTCATTTTTAATCCCAAAGAAATTGAAGACCCGCCAACAATGAGCTTCGCCGATAGAAAACACATCCTACCAGAGGAAAAAGCGAAGTGGTTAGGTATAATCATTGATAATAAACTAACCTTTAACCAACACAGGAGCGCAGTACTGGCAAAAGGCCGACAAAGAGCAGGCTTCCTAGCAACTCTTTCGAAAGCAGAGTGGGGTATATCACCACGACTGATGAACACGCTAATAACGACCACAATTCATACAGCTCTCGATTACGGGGTAGCGGCATGGTTACCTTTTGAACCACCGAAATACTTCATCAAGGACTTAACCACAATAGACAACATTTGCGCAAGAGCTGCATTGGGAGCCTTACCATCAACACCAGGGGTTTTCCTCAAACACGACGCCAACCTTACTCCGCCAGGCATAAGAATCCAGAGTAAGATCATGAATTTTATGGCGACATCGCTAACAAAACCTCCACATTCGCCCATCTACAGTTTTGTCAAACAGGCGCAAAACTCAAACCCAAGATGCCACCACAACCCTTATCACAGGTTCTTCCAACACGCGATCAGCAAGGAATTGTCCGAGTTCATTCAACAAATCCCGCTCGACCCAACTGACATACTGACAAGACCGTCTAATTACACGACTATTATACAAGAAAATGAAACAATAGCTAAGACAGAAGCTAACAAACTAACTGACACAATAGAACATGTTGTGATTTTCACTGATGGTTCTAGAATTCCGAAAGGCACAACCGCAGCAGCGGCGTGGTGCAAAAACACGAAAAAGTCAACTTCCGAACACCTAGGAACGGCACGAATGCACGGGATTTACCAGGCAGAATACAGAGGAGTCCAGATGGGACTCACAATGGCGTTACAAACGGCTTCGGTCCACACACGGAGGACGACCATATTACTCGATAACCAAAGCGTTATAAAGGATTTAAGATCCAATAAACTTCCTATTACCACTCTTGACGACAGAAAAGAAACTTACAAACTGATGACTTACCTACACAGGACTTTCCCGAACATGAGAATCACGATACGATGGTGCCCTGGTCATGTGGGAGTATACGGAAACGAAATAGTGGATGAAATCGCCAACAAAAAGGCAAGGAAGAAATTACCTAGCACATTCAAAGCAAAACCAACAGCCGCTAGTTTCGTTTCCGCAATCAAGGAATGGAAAACATCAAACTCAGAAATCACCAAACTGCCCAAGCTGAAGAGGCTCGGCCACCAACCACAACAAAAATCACACCTCAAACACCTATCAAACCTCAACAAACATCAAATTAGCACAATCACGAAACTAAGGTCAGGACATATTGAATTGAATCAGTACCTGAACAAATTTGGACAGATCCACGACCCAAGCTGTGAATGCCAAGAAGGCATTGAGTCAGTAGAACACTTTTTATTCACATGCAGAAAGTTCATTGAAGAACGAAAGAAATTTGAAGAAGAGCTGAAGAAACTCGAACTCAAAAGCAACACCTCAATCTTACACAAACCTATTGCTTATAAAGCCATTGCGCAATATTGTGATGATACCTCACTGTAAACATCATTCAACTTCCCCAATTTGGCAGAGGAAAATGATTAATAGTACAGTTTTTCATAAAAGAATCTAATACTGCACACCTGGGCCATTTCACCCACACTACATATGTGCAGCAAGCTAAGTCAATAGTTGTCTATCATGTACATACAGGTCTGCTCAGTTTTTTGCCCATCAGAATAAATAAATCACATGTTATACCACATGTAACTTTTTCGACTTTGAAATTTTTTTCCCAAAAATTCACTACATATAATTCTGTAGCTGCTCAGGCAATATTGTTGAAGCTATGTCTTAGTAACAGAAAGTGTGTTACATGCAGTTGAGTTGATGAGATCACACCAAAACATTGAGTCAGTGTATGTAGTCAATCTTTTGGCAGCTTTTTTCAATCTGAAAGAAGTTACAGCATGTATTACATATGAATAACTTGTCCTGATGAGCAGATAACTGAGCAGAACTGTATGTACATGATAACCACATATTCACTGAGCCTGCTACACATATGTAGTGTGGGTGTTATGGCTCAGGTGTGGAGTGATAGACCATTTTATGACAAATCATACTCCCAATCATTTTTCCCTGCCCACTTGGGGAACCCAAATAATGTCTGCAGTGACCTGGAGACTGAAAAGTCGCTGGAGCTGGGCAACAATCAACGACGAAACCACGCCAACACAAAGGCAACAACCAAGAGAATAAGTTTTTCAATTTCCATCCTTTAGCGCCGTACATTATAAAAACCACATATGTAAAATAGATGAAACAGCCAACAGCAACCCTTTCCCCTGACACAGCCAGAGGGGTTTTACCGGTGCTGGACATAGTAGATAGTGTTTGATAGCCTAGCGGCTCCAAAACACTTTAAGCAATGCAAAAAAAAAAAAAAAAATGCACCCATGTATGATTATCATAGTGGATCATGTACACTGACCAGCCTATCCTTCACTTGTCACAGAGACAAGTGTAAAGATCAAAAGTTATGCAGGCTGTTGATGGCAATTGTCAATGATTCCAACTGAGCTCTGATCATGGGTGAGATACCTTTGTCCCCCCTTTGGAAATTGATGGTGCTGGGGTATAAGATCTTAGGCATCTGGTCCTATGCTAGGGCAGAACAAGTTTCTGGCTGATAATTGTAACACAGGCTCCAAACAACCTTATCATGTAGGCTCTGAAGCACATCATATGGTCTTGAGCACATAGAAAGAGCTGCCCAGAAAATGCTGACATTGCAAACTCAATAAAGCCACAAATGTACGCGAGATTTCAAGATGATACCAAATGAATCCAGGCGCAACAGGTAAAGAAGACAAACATAGATTGTACACATTGGCTCCTGGCAACAAACGACCATCAATATCCCAGTCAAACTAATCAAGGATCGACTTTCACCAGACCCAGCGTCCTTTCCGTGGGAATCAAATCTGGGTGTAAGACTGCTATTGATGCCGAAGGAGAGCTGCGATTGTGAATCACGCCAGCGTAAAACTTTATGGATTGCCAGGTTGGTCCTTGTATGCTCCTATGTCCAAGTACACGGCAGTGTCAGGAGATTGAACATCACCGATCATGATGGTAGAGTACTAATTCAGGATTCGATGATGTCAGGGTTTCACGTATGTACAGTCTCAGGAGAAGATCACGATATTAACAAGACACTTACGCCTTGGCATTGGTTCCAAGAAGTCTGGAAGGCATTCGCCACAGCCGCCTTAGAGCTAAAGATTGCAGAGAGTCAAAGTTGACAATAAGCTCCGACAGAAATTATCTGATGTTGATGAAATTGGCACAAGTTGGCTTACATGTGAATCGGTGAGGTTCCGTCCACGGTTCTCAACTTGAGCTAAACAAAGGAATTGTGATTAGTCAGCATAGCTATATGATTGGTTTTGGTTGAAGTATCTTGAGATTGGAAGACTCCTATGACTCACCTCGCAAGTCCGGTAACGAGATGGGATCATATTGCCATTGAAAATAATGGTGTCAGGACCACTGGGGAGAGGGAATAGAGGTAAGGCTCTATGAATCCAACGCAGGAGCAATCAGTAATAGAGCAAAGTTGTAACACAAAGCATGGTAAAGAGCATCTCAGGTTTAGATCGACCAAGCAAGCAGAGGTAAACCAACGTTAAACAATGTTGCTCCTCGATCGTTATCGAACCTCGGGTCAAACACTCAGCATCGGCCAGTCCGAGAGTCATACAAAGAAAAGCTCCCGATAAGGTTACGAGTTTTAAAAGGGATATCATTTTGCTATGTCGAGTGAAGTAGCGAATAATTTGTGGATTGAAAGTGCTGTTGTAAGTCAGGTGTAGAGCGGGAAAGACAAAATGACTATCAAAGGGCCGCCTTTAAAGAAAAACAAGTGGGCTGCGTACATGGAGGCCCGAGGGAGAGCGTATGTCATGATGAAATAATTGCGTTTGAGCACCGCCTAGGTGGGAGGATCTTAAATTCTTCTTCCTCGCCTCAGTAGTACAGTGTGACATAGCACCTCGAATGAACGAAAACACTAAACTGATCACTGGATGTGCTCAATGATCGCTTGTACATGATGTAATAATTGGGGGTTGGCAAAAATTAAAGTTGTTGAGAGTTTGAAAGAGCAAACCATCAAGTGGATACCAAGCTGAAGTTCACTTCGATCATCGATGTCGACCCTACAAGTACTTTTTGGCGCAAGTGGCACAGCCATGCTCAGCTCCTTTGAACGTTGCCGAGGCGAGTTTTTGGGTTTTTCGTCGGGTTGCGGACGTGACCATGATCTCAAATCTTGACGATGTGGCGGAGAAATCTCATTGTAGGATGATGCGATACGCTTTCTCACGATTTTTGTCTCACGCATCAGCCACGTTGTCGTCAATTATCACTCGGCCGGTTTGCTCCAAATATCGGCCATATCGACAGAGCTCGAGAACGAGCAAGCTTGCAAGGGAGGGATCAACCCATAAACTTATCAAAGTCCCTCCCCCGCCCGAGTAGTTGAGGGAGGGACTTACGGCTAAAGTCCTGCTTTCCAACTCACAGCAGCAGAGTTTTCATCCATTTTTTGTTTTTGCCCATTATGAGGCTCACAGACCTCATAAAATCACCCATCCAGCCACATTAACATCTTGTGCGTCTCCTCTTGCCAGTTTCAGATTGTCACTGCAGATAGATTCATTGCTATTTTGATTCTTGGACACTGTGTTTTCGGGGTTTCAAGCACACCTTGGGGGTCCTGTATTGAATTATGTGTTGCGGCTATAAGTTTTTACAACTCTTCTGAGTGAGTTTCATGATTAAAATCTGTGCTGAACAATGCACAAGGATATGTAGAAGTCTGAAGAGAAGACCTCTCAAGCCGCAAGTGTCATTTTATGATGTCTGTGACTCTCATAATGGGTGATCAAGGAAAGAAGCCTGAAAGTCCTGCTGCTGTGAGTTCAAAGTAGGACTTGTGCTGTAAGTCCCTCCTTCCACTATTTGTGTGGAGGGGGACTTTGATAAGTTTACCATGTCACACAGGTTTCTAACTTAAAGTACTCCCTCTGAGGCTTGAGGCGCTTTGGTAAGAGCACCTGAACACCCTGCAAGAAAGGGTTTGTTTAAGTTAGAGAAATGCGAATACGTTAACTTACTAAAACTTAGAATGAAAATTCTAAAGCAGCATGATATTTGGGCGTATCCCAAGGCTGAGAGCCTAGGGTTATAAATTGCTTGATTTTATAAAATTAATCCCCTACGCCTATGAAGATAACAACACGATAATGAAAATAACTAAACTTCAACCAAAAAAGAAAAAATAGAATAAAAAGATTTTCTGAAAATAAAGATAATAACAACACTAATAATTAATAAATTTCTTTTTTTTAAACAAAAATAAAAACCTAAATAACAATAAAAAATGAAAAAATAACCATAAAGCAACGCTAGGACCTCAGCACAATGAATACGGGCTACAGTACAATACGTTACGGCCCGCGCCATATTGTACTGAGCCTTTTGTGATTACGGTGACTCCATACCAAAATCCCTGGAAGGCAAAACCGGCTACGGTGCCTATTACAATTACGGGTTGGTTTTGTTATGGGGACCGTGACAAAACCCATAGTCACTACGGTTGACTACGGGTCATACAATACATAATCAATATCTGTGTATATCAATCAACTTACTCATCACCACACCTTTCCTCATGCACAATCTGACCTACCAACACTCACTGTTCCCAACGCAGGGTCCTGCACTGCCAGCATAGATGCCTCGGGTTGAGAAATCTGAGGCATCATCAGAGGCAAATCCTCGGACAGACCTTGTCCAAGGTTTTTTCCCTGAGAATTACCTTGGATCAAAACCTTGGGGAGCTTCTGTCCGAGGTTTTGCATCCAAGGATACCTTGGATTACAAAATCCAAGGTAAATATGTTGGTGGTGCTGACACCCCAATCTGGCCACAATCTTGCTGGATTGGTCATGCAGCCTCCGGTCGTACCCATCTCCAAATGATAAGTTGAGTTGTGATTTGTTCCCTTTGTTTTCATTTTAATCATTCGGTATAACACCCAAACCGCTACGACATGCTATGGAATTCACCGTTTTCCATAGTGGTGCACAGCCTGCGCTATGAGCCTGATCACTACGGCTGCGCTATTTAGACAAAAAAAATTCTCACAATGTCAAAGTGGTATGTACCACTATTTTGGCGCTATATAGTGCACTATGTGAGTGATGAGGAGATGATAAAAGTTTTTTCAAAAATAAAAACAAAACAAAAGATAAACATAACAAAAAGGAAACATGAGAAACAAAACAATAAATGTGGAATTGAATATTTGAACTTCACAAAAGGATGGAACACATCATTTGTCCTTTTTTTCTTTGTCATCTTTTCTATATAAAATTCAAATGCCATGATCAAAATTACACTTTATCAAGAAAATCAATCTCAAGAAGAAGAAGATGGACTAGTGATCAATTGTGATTGGTCGGACCTAACAGTACCTAAAAACAAAGAGAGGAATCAAAATCAAAGAAGATCACATTGATATGAATCAATTGAGTCAGTAAGAAGAACAGACAAACAAAATATCAATCAGAAACTTACTTAGATAATGATAAAGTACCCTACAATCAAAATCTGAACAAGTAAAGCTATGAGATAGTGGAGAGTAAGTGGAAGAGATACAGTTAGTGATTAAAAGATTGAGAGGAGAGGAGAGAGACAACTTACCGTGATTGAACAAACTCCGATCAAAGTAAAATGCAAAATTTGTGAGATTGACATTGGAGATGAAAGAAAAGAGGAGGTGGTTAGTTTTGTGTGTGTCCGTCAATTGAGTGGAATTTTTTGGGTTTTTTGAGTATTATCATTGTGTTCATCTGATTGTTGGATCAGGAGTGGAGTGTTCTGAGTTTTTTTGATTAAAAAGTGTCCGAGTTGAGGTTTTGGTCCCTTTTGAAGAAGGGTGTTAGTGTTTCTTTTGAGTCCTGGTGTCTGCAATCAAATAGTTATCTTTTGAGTTTGATTGTGATTGTGTTCTTTAAAAGAAAAAGTCTAGTAGTCTTGCACCTAGTTGTAGATGTGGCGTGGCCTGGCGTGATACCCTGTACCCCACTGGTTTTCTCCGCTATATAGCGGAGAAACACCTCCTGGGCCGTGTTGCACAGCGAATGCCCCCCTATGGGAAGTTCCAGCCCTGGTGTGCAGTGCGGAAGCTTTGCTATGTATTGCGGGGCTCATGGCGCACCCAAAAAACGCTACAACATTGCTCCGCAATCGCCATATAGTGCAATGCGGTTTGGGTATTGGTCGGTATCTGTCATCCATTTCCATCATCTCTTTCAATTTTATTAAGTCTCTCTCTTCAATATTAAAATATTAATCAAATCTCTACTTCTAAATCATTATCCCTGATAGTCCTGTCACTCAGACTTGACCTTTGTCTGGTTTACTTCTTCCACCTGATTCCATCCGTCGTTCCAGTTGTAGTAGTCCATGTCAACAGGATTTGAGCTTTGTCAATACTTTGGGAGATTTGCAGGCCGCATTGAAACGCCCTACCAAACCGGTCACTCTGAGTCTAATCAACTTGTCCAATGATGAAGACAATTACCACACTGGAGAACAACCAACAAGTCTGTCTGAAGGCCAAGAAGAACCTTCCCAATACCAACACCGGCATCAACTCAATCAAAACAACCTAAAAAAACCAACTACTCACAAACAAAATAAATCAACATCAGATCAAAGCCAAAACAAAAAGAGGCAAGCACCGGACAGAGCCCCTGCAGTGAAGGTGACATTTTAGATAATATTCACTAGCTGGAGTTGGCGGTGGGCGCCGCACTCATGATAATTGACAAAATACTGGAGATACTTATCATGCTATTCAAAAACAATTAATAAATCTGTGTCATCAATGTCAGCGCATTGAGCAACTCAAGCATGATGTGGTTCATTCAAATCTTGTGGTTTTAATTGAAGTCTGATGATATTTTTTAATCAAAAAGTTTAAGCAACATTGGTTATCCACATCAATGCAAGCATTCACATTATTTTGATTGGGAAGTTTGTGATACTAATCATTTAGATAGCATATTCTTGGAAGATGTAGTCTCTCTGTCAAAAAGATATCGGCTAAATTGATAGCTACAAAATAAGGAAAATTGACATTCAATCTCTGAAGACCACTTGGAATTCAGATAGTTGAGTACCTGTGCAAATGATATGCAATTCAAAATTAAGATACTACGTATAACTCAACCTATTTTTAAAAAAATTAATTATAAGCAACCATCATCTCATCTTACTTCTGCTCTTTTCAACACTATCACCATTCCCATTTAATAAGTGATTAGATAGATTTGATTGAGTGTTATCAATTGTCAGTCCATCAGTTTGAGATTATTGAAAATGATAGGTGATAGGTGATAGGTGGAAAGGTGATGAATAGACAGGTCTTGTTGAGAGTGATGATGATTGTCTGGGACCAATTGAGAAAGATGTAGAATTGATAGATGTTGATGGATTTGCGACTGATTGATTTGGACATAGGTTCAAAGAAGGGGTGTGATTGTAAGGGTATACTTCTATAGTCTATTGACATGATGGTCAGCATCAATAGTGTAGAGATGATGTATGAAACCATGCTGTTAATGAGCCAAAGGTTGGTATTGATGTACTGTTCCTGGTGTGCTTACTTTGATGATTGTTAGACAGATTCCAAAAATCCTCATTTCAAGACAAATCACAAATGAAGGTTTTTTTCTCTAACTTATGGCAGACTGCAGTTATGATACAGCAGTCCTAATTTCCAATCTGCCATTCATAAACACAGTAGCAAAGATAAATATCTGCAAGTGAGATTGAAAATCAGCAATGAACAATGGTCAACTCTGTCAACAAGTTTGGTTTGAATGTTTTTTTTAATTTCTTACCAAATGCAACTCAATCAATGATAGCTTCTGATTCAAAAAAAAATCACAAGAATGTTTATTGTGCTCAAGAGAGAATCAAAGTCAGAAATCAGATATCAAAGTATGAGTTGAAAATTTCAGTCAAATGTGCTGAGGGGCCTTTGGTCTGGGAATTTTTTCAACCTTGGCTTGCAAATTCATTTTGCGGCAGTAGCAACAGTAACTTGATTGAGTTCTCTGGAGGCCAAGAAAATGAGGCAGTTCACAAATGCTGAGGATGACAATCCCATCATTGGATAGAGAGCTGTTTTATTGATATTGCAAGCTGGGTCCAAAAGCAGACATAGCTGAGGATATGGTCCAATGGTGAGGGACATGATGGTGTCTCAGATTAGAGCTTATAGTGGAGCTGTTCAAAGCGGTATGCTCCAGTATAGCTGAGTTTTCATCCTCTTCATTGATTCAGTATCTGAAGAAGATGGAGGTGAAACATTTCATTGCTTCAAGGCATGTGCTACTGATTCTTTCTCAGAGGTGATAGCTGATTTCTGAACACAATTCTACAATTCAAGAGCCTAGAACATACAAAAAATGTTGTTTGATCATTGATTATTTAGACATCAAAAAATATGGTTAAAATATCAAAGACAACTCACCCGTCAGTATGATCCACTATCCAGATCTCATGATTGAAATCAATGACCTAATTATATGTGATGTGACTGCAGGTGAGAGTGTTTTGGCATAAATGGATGGATGTCATGTTTTTGCAAGTGTTGGATCATCGCTTGGCTTCTTGACTTACTTGGTTTCCTGCTTTATATCCTTCACTTGCTCCAAATTTTACAATATAAATTGGCCGTTGCTATTTGCAGCCCACAAGAAAACCATGTAGGCGCTGGCCAAATTACGCCTACATGGGTGTTTCCCATGAAGAAGCGCCTACATTTATGATGTAGGCGCTGGAAACCATCCAAAATGACGCCTACATGTCAAAAAACCCAGGTAGGCGTCATTTGGTTACGCCTACATTCAAAAAATGAAATGTAGGCGTAATTTTCAAGCACCTACATATCTAATTTGAAATGTAGGCGCTATTTTTGAGCGCCTACATTCAATTTTCAGCTCAAATAAGCGCCTACATGCAGTCCTGCATATGTAGGCGCTACAAATCCGGCAACTACAACTCCAGACTGGTCTGAAGGGTAATGAAGAACAATTTTCAAGTCAAAATGAGAGTATTGGAAGACGGAAAAAGCAGTTTGGACTCAAAATGAGTGTATCAGAAGACGGATAAAGCAGTTTGGAGTTGAAATCAGTGTATCGGAAGACGGAAAAGTGGCTCCGGAGTCAAAATGAGTGTATCAGAAGACGGAAAAAGTAGTAAATTATTTCAACTCTGAACTCAGTTTGGAGTCAAAATGAGTGTATCAGAAGCGGAAAAAGAAGTAGATTATTTCAACTCTGAACTGCTATTTACGTCTTCTGATACACTCACTTCAGAGTTGAAAAGAGCATATTCATCTTCCAATATGCTTAACTGCTTTTTCCGTCTTCCAAAACACTCATTTCAACTCCAAGCTGCTTTTTCCATCTTCTGATACACTCATTTCAACTCCGAACTGCTTTTTCCGTCTTCCAATACTCTCATTTTAACTTGAAACTTCTTCTTCATTAGCCGTCAGACCAGTCTGGAGTTGTAGATGTTGGATTTGGAGCGCCTACATATGCAAGACTGCATGTAGGCGCTTATTTGAGCTGAAAATTGAATGTAGGTGCTCAAAAATAGCGCCTACATTTCAAATTAGATATGTAGGTGCTTGAAAATTACGCCTACATTCTGAAATTTTGAATGTAGGCGTAACCAAATGACGCCTACATGGGTTGTTTATCATGTAGGCATCATTTTAGATGGTTTTCAGCGCCTACATCATAAATGTAGGCGCTTTTTCATGGGAAACACCCATGTAGGCGCTGTTTTGGCAGCGCCTACATGGTTCTCTTGTGGGCTGCAAATAGCAATGGCCTATAAATCAGTCAGTGAATTCAAAGTGAATTGAAAAAGATTGAGAAAATTGACTCGAAGTGATTTGGTTGGGGTTCCTATCAAGATATCAATTCGACTGGGTTCAATTCCAAAGTAATCACATACACCTTGTCCTTGTGGTCTGAGAGCTTCATCAAGATATAAATGAGACTGTCAATTGAGATAATGTAAAAAGTTCATCTGAAAAAGTGAAGAACTTACATACCTGATATAATATTTTTCTTTCAATCTCAACAGATTAGGTGACTCAAGAATCAAACCTTCCATATTATAACATCCTTCCACCACCACCAAAATCTTTTTCCAAGCTCTCATTTTTCTAGGTTGACCTTCTGCAATTGTGTCTCTTAATAAACTTTCTAAATCTTTCATATCATTCTGTTTATAAGTTCTTACCATTGCATCACTTAATCTTGGACCGAATCCAATTGAAGAGTGATTCAATTCATCTGAAATGACCAATGAACCCGTAACAACTAAAGAAGGAGATGTAGTGAAATTGGTGGCAAAACTGACTGATTGATAAGGCATATTCTGTACCTAAAGAATTGGAAATTAATTTTCCAGTTTGGATGGTAATTGAATTCACTCCACCATCATCTCTTGATCTTGCTGAACTGATATCAATTGAATTGAAGTTTCTTCAACTGGATCGGTACATATTCTACTTGATTGAGCAAATCCTAAATAATTATAAGATGAAATGTTTAAGGATTGGGTAGTAGTATGAGTATATCCAAAACCAATTCCATTATCTCCGGCTGTACAATCTAAGAGTGTAATCTCAAGCTGGTGAACCCAAAACTGGTCTTGAAAAGCAATATCTCATCTAGACTTAACTTTTCTCTCGTCTAGACTTAACTTTTCTCGTAAAGAATGAACTGGAATCTGAACCATTTTTTGGAATAAGATGTGCATATGAGTTAGGTGAATATCTTTCTTCCAAAACATCACGTAAATGACTATCAAAAAAGAAGAAAAAACACCAATGGTCAATTTCAGAAAACAATCGGATTCTTGTTGTAGAAAAGAGGATGAATGACTAACCGAATGAGCAACACAATAAGGTAAGACCAATAAGCCGTTAGAAAAGTCAAAACTCCAGCATCTTTGAAGTTAATCGATATTAATCAAAGCGATTGCAGAATGAGATAGCTGATCATCAGAGGTGATTGGAGTGAATTTAGGATCAAATGAACGTAAAGGACTTAATGAAGAAATATTATAAGAACTTAATTAATCATCATGAATTGGTTTGGAAATAATTTGGTTGAGATCGAGATTGTCCTGATTTCCATCCAAATCCAGTATGATAAGCAGGTTTGGATGTTCTTTGTATGTTTTTTGAATCGACTGATGAAAAAGTATTAGCACCAGGATCCTCATTGATATGATTTGGTTAAGCAATTTGATCATCAGATACACTTCTTTTCATTTCTTCTTCACCAGATGATTCACCCTTTGTGATGATCATCGTAGCTCTAGGTGAAGGGGTTTGTTGTCTAGTACTTTTAGATCAAACGAGTGGAAGATCTTGATGATTGTTTTTATTTGTAGAGCTTGAGTTGGTTGGATCAGGTGAATGTACACCAAGATCTTCGTTCTTTGATGAATCAGAAGCAGTTGATTTCACTATGATTGGAATAATTCCTGAATTACCTGAAGTCTTTGATTTAGGTGACGGTCTTAATGATGACTGTTCATCCTCAAATCTAATCTTTCTTGCACTTTCAGGTTTTGAAACCGTTGTTTGATTAGAAGTTTTACTTGTGGGTAATTCCGAGACAATTGATAAATTGGTGACATTCTTGACCGCACGTTCTGGCATAGATGATTTTATATTCTGTGTTGCAGAGATCGATTTAGCAATTATCTCTTGCGCTCCTTGAGTCTTTGTATCTGGATGATAAGGTCTTATATCATCAGAATAGTTTGAACCATCAGATCCTATAGTTGATTGTTGGTCATGCTCATAGGATGGTCTCGATCTTTGACTGCCGGTCATCGAAGGTCGAGATTCATCGATCACAAAGCAAACCGCTTGTGGAGGGGCGACCACCGATCCATCCTCCCTGTTGCTATCTGGTACATAGACGGGTGGTGGAGAAGGTGCACGAGCCGAAAGCTGAAGTCTTGATTGGCGTAACAGTTCAGGTTTAACAAAGACGATTTCGGGGGCTGGGTATTGCGAATAACTGACACCGTAAAGTTTCTGTTGGTAAGCAAGGAATTAAGAAGCGAAATCTTAAGCAATATTGCAATATATCATTGATCCGGGTCAGTATCTTCACATACCTCCCAAGCTTTAGAGGTGGATTCGAATAAAGCCGTAAGTGTATGCTGATCGAAAACTCGCTCAGTAAAACTATACGTTTTGCCAATGATCCAGGGTAAGCATAAATCCTAGTGCGCGAGATACAAAGAGTAAAGTGAACTCAACTGATTGACTACCTTTCCAAGATGTTCAAAAATTGCATCACTATAATTAAGACCCTTCAATTGATGAGTCCTCCAAGCCAAATTTCTGTAAAACAAATCAAAGAGAAGAACATAGACTTAAAGGTCAGAATGGCAAATCTCACGATAGTCAATGATTGATAGAGACTTACATATCCCATGTAGGTATACAAGTATCGATTGAAGTATTATCTCTAACCTTTAAAAGTTCTACAAACCTATCGCATATAAATCACGTTCAATTCTCTGACAAAATCTCCAGACGCATTCAAATTGATACTTACGCTTGATATCTTGAGCAAGCCCGATTGATAGCCAAACCTGAGAAATTCGTTCGACTTGAAGCTTCGATATCACGACCACCAGCTGCTTTATTCCAACCTAAGCTTACAATCGTATTTCTGAAGCTTTCTTGTCGTTTCATCTATGAAACAGAAAAAGTGGAAGGCAGAATATTAGTGATGATTTTAGTATTAAAATGATGATTTGGAAGTGAAAGAACTCAACCAATGTGATTAAATCAAGTGAGAATGGCTCCGGAACACAGGGTCTACTAACTTAGGAACAGCTGTTAAAACCTTCATTGTCTGAACTGCAGCTTGTGTAGCCGACAAACGTTGGTCAACATCAGTATTAGATAAAGAAGCAAAACAACAAGTAACCAGTCGATTCAATGTTCCAACATGTTCAACATCTTCCAATCTCTTGCTAGTACTCAAAGTCCCCCTGAAAACCAAAGAAGTAAAAAATCAGACTTTGTTGAATGTGATTTGGTAAAGAGAAGAATGAGACATACCTCATAGAATCAAACTCAGCCAATGGTGGTAAAGAGAGAGAATAAATATCTCGCGGTAATTTATGAATCGCTAGATTCGCTTTTGTACCCTGATCCTTCACACTTTAGACGACACGATTAACTTTTGGCCCATCCGGTGTGATTACGATTAGTGAAACCTATTAAATGTGTGGTTGGTCGATTGATTTCAAGGTAATCGGTAAACACAGATCATTCAATAAAACAATCAATCATCAAAATAAATAAAGGTTGAGATTTGGTTTTTGTGAACAGAGCTGGACATCAAAGTGCATGCCCGTTTGACTCTTTTTTTTTTGGTAGGCCTCGAAGGGGACTTGGTCAAGTTAGAATCAGGACATACCTTTCCGAATGGAAGTATTTGGATCTGGAAGGAAGTGAGATTTAAGTAAATCGGATGAAAGCACCAGACACGCGGATCACAATGGTTTGATTGGGGTCATACAAAGGTTTCAGAGAAACTCGTTCATAGAGAAATTGTGTCAAATAATTCAGAGATATTTGCATCATAAATAGATTGCATGGATCATATCAAGGTACTATGGAGATAGAAAGTAATCATCGCGAAGTTGTAACTTCGGCTGGTCTAAACTCGCAGTTGTTAGGGGAATGAGTGGAGGTTTTGTCAGGTTTTGTCTGAATTGCATGTTCGCTATTAATATGAACTAGCTAAGTTTGGCGGCGGGCGCCGCACTCTTGATACTTTCTTGTGCTTTGTGCTTGGTGTATCACATTGGACTACTGTAAGAAATTGCCTGCATATTATTCTCATTTTCACACCTGATGTTAAAGAACCTAATCCAGCAGCAACGGTGGCTCACTAAGCTAAGCTAAAGATTTTTGCCACCTTGGCTTAGCTTAGCTAGAGGCCGCTAAGGAAAAATCCGCTAACACTAATCTTAGCGGATTTCCGCTAACGCTAAGCCATTAGCTTAGCGGGTGTAAAATGACACCCGCTAAGCCAATTGATTGGCCGCTAAACCGCTAATAGCGGCTTAGCGGCCCTTTTTTGCACTTAAAACATGTATTTTTTTGATAGCTAAGCTCCCGGCTTAGCTTAGCGCAGACCCGCTAAAGGAAAAATCGAAATTCGATTAGCTTAGCTTGAGTGCGCTAAGGATTTAGCGCTAGCTTAGCAACAAAAAATCGCTAAGCTAATGCACCGCTAAGCGCTAACTTAGCTTAGCCGTGCCACTGTTGCCAGCAGATGTATATATTATGAGACTTTTTTGTAGATTTGTGATAGACAGTACATGTGGCGCCTTGACTTGATTGTGAAGTACTTGCTGATGTTTGGAGGATACCTCAAATTGATCAATTCAGAGTTACAACACAATTATGGAGATTCTATGTGGTGTGTGATGATAAGTGGCCATTTTATGCATGACTTGTTGATTGATGGCATTTAATGATGTTGCATGACGATTGATCCAATTCATGATGACTATACTTTTAGTGGTGAAAGTCACCTCTTGACTACCCTTTACAGCCAACATCCAAAATTTAGCCAATTTTTTTGGGGGGGTTATGCTGAGCTTGGCATGTTTTTCGCCAATTTTCATTGGTTTTGGTGCTACTTTATGGTATGTACAGTCCCCTCCAAGTGGTTTACGTAATCATTCAAGCTCTGTAGCAGCAGGGCCGGGGCTTGTCCCCAACCCGATGATTACACTAGGTGTGGGGACATGTATAGGCATACTTAACAGCCTGTGTTTGGAATTTGGCAGAGTGACCAATAAAAAAATCTTGAAAGATTTAAACTGCTGACTGGATTAAATAACCAAGTCCAAGCTATTTTCTGATTGAGCTCCTTGAGATAGTCACCAAAATGTTCTTTTAGCCAATTTCACCAGGGTATGAAATTCTAGTTAGAGTTTGAGGTTGAAATTTTTGTTTTGCCCACATCCCATAGTCAAGAAGTGGCTTTTGCCACTGTACATACAATGAGTGTGATGTAATACATCCTTCCTAAATCCTAATACTAATCCTAACCCCTAACCAGATTGTACAATTCCTAAATAGTCAGCCACCTTGTTTTTGGAACTGGATAATTCCTGTTCTCCAATAATTAACTTTCTCAATGCAAGTAGAAATTATATTGCAATCTGCACCTACTTTTTTCTGATGGTTGTGTATGACTGAGTGTGTAGATATAAAGTTTCGATGTCTGTGCATTGCTCTACTTTTGCACATGACCTATTCTCAACTGGATTTGATGGATGAGATAGATTTAGCCTTCTAAACTCTTTGTATCCTAAATTGGCCATGAGCCCCAGGAACATACCTACTGAGACTTTGAAATTTTACAATAAAGCTTTTCAAATCAATCAGACTTGAAATTAACTAATGGTCACTAAGGAAGAGCTAAAAAATGATGGCATTGTTAGTGTTCTTGGAGCTTGTGCAGGGTGTAACATAGTCCATTACGTCTGGCAGGGAGATGCTAGGGACAGCAAAAGGAAGTGAAATACAGAGAACATGAAAAGGCCTAGTGGTAGTAATTGACACACCTGACACTTAGAGAGAGATGTAATTTAGGAATGGAAAAATTCCCCTCTTCCTCCATTGTCTCTTCTCCTTCTGAAGATCCTGCTTGTCAAGCATCCATATACACAGTAATTTCCTCTGCATTTTCTTACCTTCTCCTCTTTAGAATCAAGGGAATATTGAAGGCTGATCATTTGTCCACAGCAGCTTGACTTGCCTATGTGCAAAAACCAAGAAAAGAATATCTAAGGAGATACACAGACATTGTGCAGTTGGGAGCCATTTACTGGGAAAGTTTCTTTGGGGAAAAGCACCTGAAACACTGGAATTTAATCACAGCAGCCCCACCCATAGCACATTCCTTAACCCAGTAGTTGGGTCTTAGGACTGGGCCTGCATTACAATCCACTGGGCAAGCTTGACTGAGTTGACCATGTAACCAAAAACAATTGTTGTATACATTGTTGTGCTCAACATAAAACTTGATACATATGCACCAACTGCTACATGTGAAATCAAAAGCACTCTGAGAAAATGATATTAGAGGTACAACTCAGCATTCATAGACACCAAAATTCTTGTAGCTGTGATGCTTTCGATTGATCAATTTTAGTTTTGTTCTTATGAATTCCAATACAATCAAATGCCAAAATTAGAAAAGATTGTTATTCTACTGTAAGCAATAAACTTTGATTGGTCTCATTTATCAGGGTTCATACACAAGTAAAGTAAAATTATTTGATGATACCCTTTTGAAACTTTATATCCATGTATCTTGTGCTCTGGTATCATATTTATGGTGTCTTCTGATTTAGGCCCTGTATAAAATTAACATTAATCAATCCAAAGACTGAACAAACAAAGAGGAGTGAGAGGAAAGACAATGAGGTGGTGATATTCAAAGACATTCTTGTCAAAGCCGAGGTTCAAATTCACACTCAATGGTAGGCAGATAATTGAAAAGCATCAATCCAATGCAAGGTAGCAAGTCAGACTTTGATCTGACATTAAATCCTCTGGATCTTCTATGTGTATTGAGGTTTCCTTTATCTGTGTTCATTGAGTGCATGATCATTATGTCCAAGATGATCAAAAATCTCCAAGAAGATCAAAAATCTCCAAGTTATGAGGAAGCAGACCTGATCTGAATCTCAGTTTTGGACAATTGATATTGGGTTTTCTCATTCTTGTTCTTCTGATTTTTAGCCTCACATCTCTTATTACAATTTTTGATGCAAGACAAACTGAGTGCTATAGTGAGAAATAGCCCTCACTGTGTGAGAACTCAAACATATGTTACATGAAACAAATCCAAGTCAGCAGCTGATCAGACCCAAAGTCATTCTTTATCAATAGCCCACTTAATGAAACTAACACATTTGATTATATTTCATTTTGTTTAAAAAGTAAGATTAAACTTGGATACAGACTGCATCATTGTTTTGACTATGATTGTTTTGAGAGAAATGACCTTTGCTACTTCACTTGCACAAGGGCTTAATCTCATTGATCATACCAGTTTGTAGTCAGACAGAAAACAACTATACAAATGAAAGTTCAAATTTTGTGATCGATATAACTGCAATTAAACCAAACAAAACAGAGAGAAAACCGCTTACCTAGGTAGCAGATAATTCCAAGCTTGTATCAGACCAATCATTTTGAACTGAATTGTCAACAATCTAACATCAGTTGATAATCAGTGCAAACAAACATGGATGGAGAGAGTCAACTGATAAAAACGAGTTGGATTGATCAAAATCACCAATCAAAATATATAGGCCAGCTGATGATTGATATATAAACAAAGCCAAAAGATTGATCAGTGACATGAGGTAGATGAGAAGCTGAAGAAGGCAAATTGTGAAAAGTGTACTTACAGATTGTCCAAAAAGGACACATAAAACTAATGATTGATAAAACCATAAACAATCCAGAAAGAAGTTGATTAGTACTGAATCAAAAAGTGAAAAGCATCCAAGATATGAAACTTACCAGTGCAAAATGAATCTACACATTGCCATCCTGTTCAATGATCATCACCTATGATAATTCTTATAAGTTGATAAATTAAAAGTTCACCAAAAACTGATTCTCAAACCCCCAAAATCAAATCAAGATCAATTTCAATAGACAGAAAAATTCAAAAGAAAGAGAACTTACACCATTGAGCTTTACCAGGATTAAAATGAACCAATCCTTTCAAATCAAGTAACAGTTCATCAGTTACCCAACTCCACTCAAATCCCCAATTTGTAACCAGAGACGGAACATGTTTATGAATAAGTTTCAATTGAGATAAATCGAATTGAATAGTTTAATAATGATTTGTTGTTCTTGTCTTTGTAAAATATTGCTTTTCAAGAATGAAGTTGAATTTTGTACGGATCGTAAAAAGTGGAGGGAAAAGAGACTATCTTAAACTGTAGTATGTTGATTCTTTACTAAGCCACATCGCCAACTGACCAAATCCAATAAACAATTCAATTAAATATTGGTCAAACAAAGTTGAACTTCTAGGAAAGACAACCAAGATTGATCTGATAATAATCTGAATGAGTTGAGGATTCAAATTAAGAAAAGTTCAGATCCAATCGAATTGAACAATCTAATGAAGTTTGAATCACGTTAGTTTCAAGCATTTTACAAATCACAGATGGCCAAGTGGTGATTGGATCAATGAATAGAGTTAAAGCGATTAATCGATGATGACTCATTTATGATGAAAGTTGAGAATGATTATGGACATTATCTTTCGTTGAACATGGACAATACAATTCAAAGATTGCTTCTGATATTTTGATCGCTTCATTTGAATTGCAATCCACTTGAATTCCGCTTTGATTGACTCGATCTATATCTGATTTCTTTCTTTCTCTTTCGAGTCCTTTCGGTTTAACCCCTGATTCTTCTAAAATCATCTCATTGCAGATCGAATCTTCTAATGCTAACTTGACTTGTGATTCAAATTGATTAGGATAATGAAGCGACTCAGCTTTTGACATCGGGTCCTCTTCTCTACTCATCAACACATTGCTATCTCAATTTTAACCAGTCGGTCGTCCATGTCTTGATGATCGGATCGGTGAAAAGTGGCATTGTCCTCGGAATTGATTTCGTTTTTCGGTTTGGAAAAATTGTTAGTAAAACTTGGATAAATTTCATAAACCTTTCTTCATGTTCTGTCAAATTGTGGTTCATCTTCACTTGGATGAAAAAATTGATAAGCAGTGATAGGGCATAGCACTGTCTAGAGCAGTTGTACAGCTATACTGTATAGACTGCTCTACTTAGCTGGACAGGTAGTCCTGCGGTGGAAACAGAAGCGGCCAATCGGAAAGGAAAAGTGGTCAATATACACCGCAGGATAGATGCAAATTCAAAACAATATGCTTAACTTGGCATGGTGAATAGATTGAAGGTGCTCCTGTGCTGAATCATGACGTAGGAGGGGAACTCATGATTGATATTTGAGGATAGTTTACGCGGTGATCCAGAAACGAGACCTATAACATTATTTGTATATGTGTTTCTTGTGTGAGTTAATTGGGAACTTGATAATCAAATTGGAGCATAGTTGATTGTACGATAGGATTCAAATGTTGGTGTTGATGACTTGGGATTTTGGCTAGATTGACATTGGATCTCTGCGACTAAAAAGTGAGGGACTGAGGAAGTCGGTTGATTATGTGTGTTGAAAGCTGTAAGGTAACAGAGTTGTGGAGATGGCGGGGAATCTGTAACCGCTAAGATGAATCATAAGCTGCAGCAAATTGTACTCTCCTTTAAAAAAGAGAACGGAAGAGTTACCCGGCCAGAACTACGGAATAGCAGGAGGGCTTGAAATAGTGGAAATTATGTGTATATGTGTATAGGAAGGGGAGAAAATTGAGATTCATTGTTGCTAGCTCAAGACTTTTGCTGCTGCCAACTGCAATTCCGCTGGGGGAAGAGTAGGCAGACGAGCAGGTTATCAACGTTAGTGGCAAATGGTTCTGCATTATAGTAGGCAAAGGAAATACGGAGGATGCTATGTCTATTGAGTAGCGGTAAATCTTGGCAAAGTGGAGGATCATATAGCAAATCAAAGGTAAATTACGCTAGTCCGTAGCTTCGGCTGGCTGAAACTCGGATTCGTCAAGCTTGAGAGTAGCCAACTGAGACAATTTGTGGATTTTGTAAAGCAATTTGTCTATTTTGTTGGAATTCAATGTTCGCTGTTAACTTGAATGATGAGATGATGATCTTGTAGTTCTTTCTGTAAGCTGATGAGTTGTTTTGCCTTTGGTTACTCAGAACTTTGAGCATACTGATGATATCAATGTTGATCAAGTCATGGAAGATGAGGGTGAGAAGAATGGCTTTAGGAAAACAACTAGTGATGATGTCAAGTTTCTCCTATCATATTTTAAAGATTCAACCTATGTCCGTGGCAAGGAGGTAAGTTTTCATCTTAATACATTATATTATCATTTTCATTCTCAAACCATTTTGATGATGTTTTATCTTTTTATCCATGTAATAGGCTACTGGGATCAAACAAAGCTTGACTTGCAAATGGTGCAAGAGTGTTTTTACACGCGGTAATGACAGTAACTCCAATCTTTACGGTCATCAAAACAGTGTAGTACTTATAGCACAACAAGGGCTATACAGTGCTTGAAAGAGGATAATCTGAAGATGTAATGGATCTAAAGAAGGTGTCTGAGACTGCTCTTTCTGAGAATCTTTAACAAACTGGACTTTGTTCTTAAAGTCTCCTGATAACAGAGAAATATAACCAGGTCTTTGATAATAAGAGAAAAGTAACTGTTGAAAAGGCACCAGAGAAATAAGTTCAACACATTTAAAGTGTTATTCCAGTCGAGTCAAAATGTTGAAAAATAAGCTCAATATCTTTTTGATATTATTCCAGAATGACAGTGTCATATAAAACACATAAAACAAATTTCTCTTCTAATGAAGGGCTGATTTGAGTGACCTAGTACTGTTCTAATAAGTTTATAATGATAAAAATGAATAAAGCTGTGTAAGAGATGAAGAAGAAAGAAAACATAATTTCGCACAAAGGGCACAAGCTTATATACAAATCAATGAAGTGGTAAACAGCTCTTAAAAATCCTCTTTACCATTTAAAAAACCAAAAGATGACTAAAATGTTGGTAAACAGCTTTGATATAATGATTCAACCACTCTCTACATTCCTAGATTTCGCCATCACTAGCTCACCAACCCATTATGATCATTACTATGATGTAATGTGATCTTCTATTCATCATCTGATCAGATTTATTACTAATTTGACCAGTAAAACATGACTAATCCCTATTCTTATGATCAAATGCTGTGTATATGCTGTGTATATGCTGTGATTTGGATGTTCTAGAATGAATATTGATTTGATCTTATGATGATTCATCATTTCAATGATGTAATTGCTTGTTATTAATGATTTGTGATCTTGTTGATGTGTAATCAAATCCTATGATTTCTTATAACTTTTGTCATACACCTCTGTTACTAATGATTTAAAGGTTGTAAATTATGATTTGGATGATTCTGCGTCGAAAGAACTATTACTCATCATGTTCTGACGTCATTTGACACATGTAATCAGCTGAAAACCTTCATTTTCGACTATTTTCACCTATTTTCTCCACTTTACACACCTTTTACTAAGCTTTTCCTTTTTTCTGTTCCTGTCTTCTGTGACATTAAACAGTAATCTCTGACCGTGAGAATCCCTAAAGATACTCTTGGCAACCTTATTCATTACTAATACCACTGTTACATATGTAAAACTACCTGTAGACCCTTGTTTACCAGCTTTGACTTTTTCCCATTTCCTTAATAACTTCTATTTGCTCTTATCAACCACCAAGATTAAAGTTTTTACTGACTAATATAATGCTCCTATTTCATATTACAACCCTAATAAACCCATAAACCTAATATCAATACCCTAAAAACCATTTCCAACCCGTATACCTCTATTTTCAAGTTTTTCTTATGTTTTTTCTTTCTTTTGTTTTGTAATCTTTTTGTTAAAAGTTTATACTTATCTTATTAAGCTGGTTTCAATGATAAAATGATGTAAATAATAAACTACAGTCAATCCAATTTTGCTTGTCCAATCGGATTTTATTTATTTATTTTTCACTGCAATACAGGTGATTCTATAAGCATAAAGATATGAGTCATATGCTTATGCTGGAGTTGTGAGTCTGACCAACCACAGCTGACCATAGTCCACAGTGCTTGATTATTACAAACCTGTCCTCATCACCATCCCTTTGTCCTCACACACATCGTTCCAGCTCAATCCTATCTTTCATCATTCATCCTCTCAGCCAAAGAACCGTAAGGTGAGTGCTGACCCAGTCTTCTAGGCTTTGATTTCAGGCTCTTTGTTTTGGTTCAGACCTCTCAGCTTCGGTTCAAACCTTCCCGTCTTCAACTCAACCCTTGGTGTCTTTGATTTGATTATGTAAAGTTCACTCACTCAATCAAAAACTAGCTTGAACACAATACTGATCTTCCTTTGAATTATATTTTCAGTTGAAGTTCATTAGATTCGAGTGGATTGTTCAAAGCACCTTTATCAGCTACTTCCAAAACACTCACAATTCCTTCTCAAGCGAATGATGATAAAGGATTGAAGATAAAAAGTCTCGATTGCTACCCACACAATATCAAAAAAGAAGGTGAATTGTTGCCATCACTTGATCACCCCAATGTCGGTTTAATCTACTCAAGCTTATGTTTAGTGAAGTATTTTCTTTAGATCTTAGTCTCATTTTTAAATCCTTCCTTTAGGCTTCAGCTCCAATTCGTAAACGTCACATCCAATTGTAGAGCTCTGGATGTTTTTTTGGTCAACTCGATCGTTCCATTTTTATATAGCATACTTAGCTTTGGGAATCTGTTGCATCAGATCAAATCCAAAGCCTTAATGTGTATTCTGCTTGTATTTCATCTTGCCTCAGTTTGCTGTTGTAATAAAAGACTCTTTGAATTACAGTCTCTTCCTGTGATGCTTCAATTACTTTTCAAATGCATTGCCAGCATGTCTCAAGGTGAGGGGATCATGTGCAATGATAGTGGTCACAGATAGGCTGAGTACCAACAGTTCTTAGACCGGAAGTCTGCAAGGAAGCCAGTGACTACTAGCACCAAGTATGAGCTCAGGTTAGATGGCACGAGGAAACAAGACAGTTCATAAAAACAGTGCTTCTATATACCGTTGCAGGAGTTTCATACACTCTAAGATCAAACTGTGGATCTAATGAGACACATTGTACTCGTAGGCAACCGAAAGAGTCCAGAAAGTATATCAATCATAAGAACTCAGAATGATGAATATAAACTGTTGATGTTATTAACAATGGCCATTTAGATGGCAGGTACAAACTTCTATATACAAATAAGACACTTATTCTTTCTTGAGTATAGGAACAACAAAATCACATAGCAAGAAAAAACTACAAGATCCACAGACTGAGGCAGATTGATGTGAAGCGTTGAGAAACCAGGGTAAGTAGCTTTACTGATGATTTGCAATAAACAAGTCACACCTTATGAACTAACAGTATCAACACAAATAAACTTACACAGGATTGATCGATGACGCGGAATTGGATTTAGTGGATTGATTGATCTTCAAAGTACTTTGAAATGTCTGAACCAAAGACTAGAGCTTAAGTTGACAGACAGAAGGGATTTGAGAGAAGTGAACCATTTCGATTAGTGCGTGTTTAGTTGGTTAACAAGAGTTGAGTCAAAGAACAACATACCTTGAATTAGCGATAGGGTAAGGACTGATAACGATTTGAGTTGATGAGCTCGAACATATCCGATGAACGGACCAAAACATTGACCTGGCTGGATGGATGAGGAAGATATTCAGCAATCCAATGACTGATCTCAATACAAGTAAGATATTCAAGGAGCTTACTTGAGTCAAAGCCGAGATGTTTCAGTCGAGACCGAAAGGGTTGAATTGCGG